TAGCTAAAAGTTTTCATGGCTTTAGATTAGAGTACGAGAGGGACAGAGCGTCGACTTCATTAGACGTAACCTCTCCAACTTAACTTTTATGTTCAGCGCGGCTTTCAGCATTCAGTGGTCGCTGCCAGTTTTCACTCTAAATGATGATCACTGAGATCAAAATCATTGAGAATAAAGTAATCTAGTTATGAGACAATAATTACATTTTTATTTAGACTTCAAACGTCATAAGGTCATTATCGTGCCAATCCCGCGCAAACGCAATGAATCGAACGACGAATCGAAGCACACTCAACCATCTTGTTTGCACTCGTTGGTTTCATATCGGGGTTTGCAAACGCATATACCTAACCTATTTTACCCATGAAAAAAGCGTGCAAATATAATAATCAACAAAATTAAATTAATAAATATAATGCGAAAGTTGCTTATCAATAAACTGCTAGATTATTTTCTTTAGTTATCACCTCTTTCAGAGAGTTTTCAACCCACCTCAAGCAAGCACCAGAAACTCAACCCAGACAGTTTGGTACTTCTTACTGAATTGAAAATAACGCTTACCAAGCGATGCGTCGATGAAATATTCAAATATTTAGTATTTGGAACATGCCATGACCCTGAATGAATCCTAGGACTGGGACGTCGAGATTAATGAAATAAACTTTTATCACTACCATGTCTATACAGAGGTGGATGTTACGACACCATTACCTGCATTGAAAAATAAGGAATTCAATTGAAATATTATTAAATTTTGGTCAATGCAAATCAAAATAACCCGTCCTTGCGTCCGCGAGACGTGTATGCGTATGTCGTAGAAAATACTCTCAACTATTTAAATATACTTACAAATAAACACTACTTAGTAAAGACTTTACATTATAAATTATTTATGTATTAGAAATAAATTCAATAAATAAATTACCGAAATAAATAAAGTATGCAAAACAACAGCAATACCGCCCAACACAAACCTTTGCTTGTACTAAAAAAATTACGACGACGGACAGAAACAAAATGACGACGACGATAAGACTCATTGAAGGACCTAAGCTTTTTCTGAAAGTATACGCTGTTGGCCCTGCGGCTTTCACAGTTTCATCGAAATAGACTCGTGAACGAGGACTTAACGAGTTAGGTATTGAGTGTGTCGATTCTGCCGGCGGCGACGCGGCACCCCAGCTCTTGCTTTTGGAGTGAGACTCCTTGACCTAGGGAGGGGCACGATTAATTCAAGGGCCCTCATATGGAAGTACGATTCTTGGCTTGAAACAATATACGTTACAGCCTATATACGTCCCACTCCTGGACACAGGCCTCCGCTCTGAGAGATTTTTAGGGCAAGGAATTGTCCGTCGTGCCCCAATGCGAGTTGGCAAACTTCACATCTCTTCGAAATAGAGATTTTTTTCTTATTTATAAGACATGCAGGTTTCCTCACGATGTTTTGCTTCACCGCCGAGCATGTGGTAAATCAGCACTTAAAATTGCATAATGATTTCTTAAAATTACGCGAACACTACACATTGAATAAAACTAAATTTACGGATTTTATCGCGTTTATTTCACTACTTTTACTTATTTTTAATTCCCGACGTTTCAGATGCTTTACAGCAACAGTGGTCACGGGGGGGAGGGGACTAAGATGTTTGACGTCCTAATGTCAGCCAAGGTAGCCAGTCTAACAATGACACTAGTGGGGGGTCGCCCTACACTACACCTACCGGTACGAGGCTGCCACTCGAGAACCTTTCTTCCCCATCGGTTATCGGTTCTTCGAGCTATATGGCCGGCCCATTGCCACTTCAGCTTACTAATCCGTTGGGCTATGTCGGTCACTCTGGTTTTACTGCGGATATCCTCATTTCTGAGTCTATCACGCAGAGAAACTCCGAGCATAGCCCTCTCCATAGCTCGCTGAGCGACCTTGACCGTCCTCATGCGGCCAACAGTAAAGGACCACGTCTCAGATCCGTAAGTCATCACTGGCAACACGCACTGGTTGTACACTTTAGTTTTCAGAGATTGAGGTATACCTGACGAGAAGATGTGTCATAATTTCCCTCACGCTGCCCAGCCGAGTTGAAACCGTCGATTGACCTCTCGGTCGAAGTTGGACTTACCTAGTCGGACTATTTGTCCCAGGTAAACGTACTCGTCAACAACTTCGAGCATAGTGCTCCCAACAACTACCGGCATAGGTGTGACATGGACATTAAACATGATCTTTGTTTTGTCCATGTTCATCTTAAGACCTATCCGTTGGGAGACACCATTGAGGTCATTGAGCATAGTGCTAAGGTCCTCCAGCGATTCTGCCTTAAGGACTATATCGTCGGCAAATCGAAGGTGAGTGATGTACTCGCCATTGATGTTAATACCGTATCCTTTCCAGTCCAGTAGCTTGAAAACGTCTTCCAACGCAGCGGTGAAAAGTTTCGGGGATATAATGTCACCCTGTCTTACACCTCTTTGCAGTTGGATAGGTTTCGAACTCTGGTTCTGTACTCGGATAGCTATCGTAGCACTACTGTACAAATACTTCAGCACTTCGATATACCGACAGTCAACTTGGCACCGCTGAAGGAACTGTAGCACCGCCCAAATTTCGACGGAATCGAAGGCTTTCTCATAGTCCACATACGCCAGGCAAAGTGGCAGATTGTACTCTTCGGTCTTCTGTACAATCTGCCGCAGGGTATGTATGTGGTCTATGGTACTGAAGCCTTTTCGGAAACCGGCTTGTTCGGGAGGCTGGAAGTCGTCGAGTCTGTGTGCGAGACGATTCGTAATTACTCTCGAAAACAGCACGTAGACGCGGCTCAGAAGGGAAATCGGTCAGTAGTTCTTCAAGAGAGCGTTGTCGCCTTTCTTAAAGAACAAGACCACCGCACTTCTGCTTCACGCCTCCGGAGTAGTGCCACCATGGAGGACGGAATTGAAGAGCTTCTGAAGGACTTCTAGTACCGGTGTTCCACCCGCTTTCAGAAGCTCCGCTGTAATTCCATCCTCGCCTGGGGCCCTGCCGTTTTTAAGGTGCTGGAGAGTCTAATCTCGCTCAGACTGACATCCGGGATATCATCGGAATAGTGTCGGGTAAGACTTGCTCTTGGATCGTTACTCACACTTGCGTTTGGCTCCAACGATGATTTGTACAGCTGCCCATAGAACCTCTCAATCTCACTCAAAATCTCAGGTGTCCCGGAAACGATGCTGCCACACTCAGTCTTCAGCTTTGACAGTTGGCTCTTTCTGGCAGACAGATCTCTGGCAAAGACTTTGGAGCCCTGGTTCCGCTCGATCGCTTCTTTAATACGAGCAGTATTAAAGTTGCGTAAGTCTCGCCGTATGCATTTGGAGATCTGTCTGTTCAGTTGCCTGTATGCTGTCAAATCTGTTGACGATTGCATACTCATCTCCCGTCTAACAGCCATGAGATTAAGAGTGTGATCGGAGAGTTTTTGTGTTCTTCTTCGGCGGGTCTTGCAGAACTTAGCTCCGACCGCATGGACAGTTTCCACGAGTTTGTCATTCATATCGTCTACTGCATTGCTTTCTAGGCACTGGACGCGTTTACGTAACTCGAGCTGAAAAGTCTCGGGATTCTGGATTAGAGCACGAGGGGGACGGAGCGTTGACTTCATTAGACGAGACCTCTCCAAGTTAACGTTTAGGTTCAGTGTGCCTCTAACCATTCGGTGATCGCTGCCGGTTTTCACCCTTGCGATCACTGAGACATCACTGAACAGTTGGCGTCCCTCTGTCGCCTCTTACGACACCCACGGGAAGATATGGGGTAGTGGATATTCTCAACCGCCACTACACGGCTAAAAAAATTGAAAATGAGTAATTATATAATAAATAGTCATTATTTTATGGTAAAAAAAATTTGCAAAGCTTTATCATCTCATTAAACCATAATTATGTAATTCCGTAACTTCGTCGTCGTAACTTAAACAAAATAATTTCGGTGTTTCACATCTACCAGGCATCCCTATTTTTAATTTTGTACATAGTTTGTTTGTACTTTGTTTATGCTTTTCTTTTATTCATGTATTGTATTATATGTAAATATCTTTTTCTTTCGCTCAAGCAAACCCAAACGGCTCTTTTCAAAGCCACCGAAGGTATGCAATTGCATATGTCATACAATCTATCTAGCGGTAGTATGCCTTCTGTGTGCTTTGTTAAACACGTCCTTGACAGCACTGAATATGAAACTAAAGAGTGGAGACAGCTCAAGATTGGTGTATTTTTATAAAACTACTAAAAACAACAAAACCATATCTTGGGCTTGCCCTAGTTTAGAGCCCTAGCTAAACTGCTTGAACGAGTTTTTTTTACAGGATAGGGTGACAAACGAGAACGAAATGAAAGGATATATAGTACTGAATCGATCCATTGAATCGATATTTCACCCTAGAAAATCAAGATCGAATCTTTTTCCGTTTTCATAAGAACTAAAATTACTGACAATTAGTTGAATGTACCCAAACATGTAAAGAATGACAGTTTTTCTATTCAAAGACTAGCAAAACTGCTGTGGTCAGATTCTTTTACCTCTTCTTAATGGACTAAAAAAATAAAAAATAAGTTATGTTTATAATCTGTACTTTGTACGAATCTGAAAGTAAATCGAAAAAAGATCGATTTTTGAAAAATCGATCTTCTAGACATTTTTGTGAATCGATTCATAAGATTTTGATCCGAATCGATTCAAAAAGCGCCCTTTTTCGGAAAGAATAGACATACCTACTGTATGCTCGTTTGGCATCCTTCTATAACAACTTGTCTAAATCTGCCACTAAGGAGCAGTGCACCCAATGTGTTTCGGTCCTCAAAAGTGACAACGTATATGTAACCCTTTTTTATTTTTTTTGCAGGCGACTATTGACTGCAGTAACGCATTGTCAGGTGAACTGTCGCTTTCCATGTCTTTGTCATGTATTTTTAATAAGGGCATTATTTTATTTTTAGTTAATAGAAAAAAAAACATAAAATTACATATCCTTTAATGCTTTAACAACACAAATATTATAAAATAAATGACTTTGCAGCCTTGACCAAGTCTGTGCTGCAGACTCTTCAACTGATTCTAAAGTATTCCTCAGATCCTCATTCTGAGATATAGTTTTAGTATGAGTCTTTAAAAACAAGCTTAAATATGATTGCGCTAATTCGAAATCTCTATTTGATTTGAGCATAGTTTCCAACATAACGAGAAAATGTCTCATAACTTCTATCGACCCACCGGCGTCAACGGCCATACTAATTATTTCTGCCTCAATTATTGACGGCGACAGTGATTTAAGTTTTTCTACACATAGCCAGTAATCTTTATCGTTATTACAAGAAACTAATTTTTTTGCAAATGCCGTCAATGTAGATAGTGATTCAGGAATTAAAAGTTTCCTATTTTTACCACTTTCTTTTTCCTTCTCTAAGTCAAATTCGAGTTCTAGACTTGGTATTGTTGGCAGGAAGAAAGGCGCTGATTTAGAAACCGTTAAGGGCGTTTTAGGTTTATTTCGCATTTTCACAATGTCTAGATTTAAAAGATTTAACCATCTTGACGTTGGCTGATCAGAAAGGGTAATGAGTTCTTCACTAATTTGTTCAGGGGATTTGTACTCTGGTTCTTCGCCTAAATCAATTCTGCCTATATCTTCTATATCAGGTTTCTCAATTGCTGTATTTGGTAATTCTGCAAATTCAAATAAAATAGATGAATGCTTTTAATATTTATAAACAATGTAAACATATAAATAATTTCACATACTTAATTTCGGGATCTCAACTGTATTTCTATCAATAGGTTTTAGAAAAACTCTGTCATATAAAAGTTTATTTGCCCAAAGGAACACTCCTAACTCTCCGACATGTGTTGTTGCTAAATAATCACCAGTAGGAGACATACTTAATGATGTACAAGGTTGTTCTACCTGCAAAAAAGACTTTTTTTAATCATAGAAAAATAACTTTTGCTGTAGTTTTGTTGTAGTTTATAACTGAAGGTATTCACGCTATGTGGCAGACTGTTTCAGCTTACATATCCACATGGATACGTACTCTAAGTACCTATTACCACTCCATTGCAAAACAAACATGTATTTTGATTTAATGATGAAAAGAGCCAGTATGATAATAGGCTGTGAAGATGCAGATTGAGGTGCGAGCCATATAGTGGCGGTATAAGTAACATTCATAATATATTCATATCAGGCGACTAAAAGGCTAGAACCTTTGACTTCCCGTAGATGGGGCCTAACCATGTCATATTTATAGAATATATAAAATCCCAGGACTAGTGGTTAAAGACCGGAATGCAATCGACAATCGGCCAAATCAACCGCCGAAAACTTACAGCTAGTTATATGTTGGTAATTTATGAACAAAAAATATTATTTAAAGAAAGCATTTAATTAAAATATAAAATATAGTAAAGAGAAATTCCATAGCAGAGACCTAGATGATGATGCATTTACACTATAATATGGGCCACAGCATCCACTTACCATCAGGTAGACCGTGTGCTCGCTTGTCACCTAATGCTAGAAAAAAAAATGCGCAAAATTACAAGTCTGAAGGATATTTTTGAGTTAAGAGGGTTCGAAAGTGACTCAAAGTGATTCGTGTCAATAAACACACTGCCAGTGCACGTTTCTTTCTTTTCCGAACTTGGCTGACAGACTGCTGTGTGTTCAGATAAACAAGGTAGGTACATATCAATTTTAGAAAAACCTAAAACGAAAGACTTTTATGTATACTAATATATTGGCGATTCAGCAAAAGCTGTCTCGCAACTATGGATCGCGCGGGCGCTGCGCGGATGGGTAGCTGAAACGGTAAACATGCCACGAAGTTTTATTTTTATTTACGACAGTTATGGTTTTGAGGCAAATACGAAATAAAGTTACATACTTATCTGGAATAACATTCAAATTATGTTGACAAAACGCGCATATAAATAAAGACGTCTTCTTTTTTTTTAAAGAATAAGCATGACTAACGACACACAGCCCACCTGATGGTAGGTGGATGCTGTGGCCCAAAGAATGTCTAAGGGCATTCAATATCAAAAAAATGGGCTAACATTTATCCTCGATTAAGAATCAAAACGCAGATGCGTTGTCACCCCTGAGGACTTAGATGGAATGGCTCGTTTCCAGTAAAAAAGGATCCCCGTATCTCCACTCTCACCATACGAAACACAGCAGTATTAAGTTGCTATTTTACGCTGGTATTCTGTGGGAACGTGGTCCTTCCCCGGTCAAGGCGATCCATTCGTGCTACAACCATAATATCAGTACAAAACACAGTGTTAGATTGTCGTAAACAACATCTGCGGTTTACAAAACAAAGAACTAGTCTTCTCACCAACTTGCAGTCAACTAAAGGAGTCAAGGAGAACACATAGCCCGTATACATAGAAGTCTTGCCCATAACTCAAGTTTTTAAGTTACCTGCCAAATCTTCCTTACATTCAAAATCTTATAATCTAAATCTTATATCTATATATAGTGGTTATTTGCCGTCAAGCAGTTCACAAGCCTCTTTATCGACTTGTTTTATTTAAAAAACATAATTTTGTACTTGCATGAATTGTTGCATGAATAGGGTTTGTTCCCGGGAATTCCCGGGACGAGAATTCCTCGTCCCGGGAATTCCCCGGTCGAATCGGTCGGTCTCGTACCCGGGAAATTCAGCTCGAGAAAAGTCGAGACATCGAGAAGTTTAAATAAACATTTTTACGCTTAGCTTTCTTTGTAAATGCGAGGCGGCAGCGGCATCCTTTGACAGCACGGCTCGTGTCTGTCGGTATCCTTTGTTTTTGCCGACAAACGCAAGCGCGACGCGGCCCCAGTTGTATTTTATTCATTCGTGTTTCAACTCCCGCCGTGTTCGGATCGGTCGGATCATAAACCCAGCATAGTGAGTGTATTTACTATTTAGTGATGCACGAGTAATAGAATCGCAGAACAAACAGGTAAGTATTGTTATAATTTATTTAAATAGTTCAAGTGTTTGTTTTGTTTTGTAAGTACTTTTGTATTACCAAAATAATATTTTTGTTTAAAATGAATAGGTATGTTAAAGAAATAAAACTTTTGTTTTTAATCAAATAAGAGAATTGTTAGTGCATAAATATTTACCGATTTCATTAATTGCATTTGTATTGCAGATGTTGTAATAAAATAATCCCACAAAAGCCTAAAGTTCTAAACTAAACACATAATATTAAGAGTAAGACGTTGTTTTATGGCAATTTATCTACTACAAATAACACAAAACGTATCCAACCAATCCTACCAAACGTAGTATACAAAAGGAAACAGCTATTTTTTCATCATCATCATCAGCCTAACCTAACCACATCAACCCCCCTGCTGGGCATAGACCTCCCCACTGTTGCGTCAGCTATTTTGTAGGTACTAGGTACTAAACTAAAATACTTACTAATTCTTGAACTGTTTGTTATAGATTTTACAACTAATGAACCAAAATGGAAACTTCCAAAGTTTGGAAATACTTCAAGAAAAATAAGGACGCCTCAAATGCGCAATGTCTAAAATGTCCTAAAACCATAGCCTGTAAAGGATCAAACACAAGTGGACTAGTGAGGCATTTAGCTCATGTACACAAAATTGATGTAAGAGTAAGATCCACCGAGGTTCAAATGGACACAGAAGAAGCATCTACCAGTTCGTCTAGTTCCGGGGTGACGGCACCAAAAAAATTAAGAAGTGGTTTTGAAACTATGCACGTACAGCAAACACTGAAATTTGACGTTCAACCCAGAAAATCGTTAGGTGAAATTTTAGCTAAACTTTCAGCCCAAGATGGTTTTACTATAAGAGGCATTACTAAAAGTGAATTTATCCGTGAATCACTTGCTGCCAAGGGGTATAAACTTCCAAAGACCCAAACCGAAGTTATGAACCTAATATTGAAGTTTTATGATGAAAAGGAGAAAGAGATGATAAAAGAGCTTTCTCAGCTTTGCACATCAGGAAACCGGCTAAGTGTGACAATTCACGAGTGGACAAGCATAAGAAACAGACGATATTTTAGCGTCTGTGTTTATACAGCAGAAGCAAAAGTTTACAATTTGGGGCTAGTTTACATACCCGGAAAATGCGGTGCCGCAGAGGTTAGAGAAATAGTAGAGGAGCGTTTGAAATACTTTGGGGTAAACTTCGAGCATTATGTCTAGGCCGTAACAAGCGACGGGCCAAATGTTATGAAAAAATTTGGCAGAGAGAGCCCCTGTGAGATGGTCCTCTGTGTAAACCATGCCATCCATTTGGCTATTCTTGATACCTTTTGCAAAAAAAAAAAACAGTAACTACAGTTGCTAGAAGAAACACACCTGTTAGCGACGATGAACACAGCAGCTCTGATGAAGCCAGCACTGATAACGATGACGAAGAATCTGATGATGAATCTATATTGCAGCCTATTGACGACATAAACAAAGTGCTAAATGAGACCCGTTCGATCATAAGATTTTTCAGAAAGAGTCCCCTTATAAATATCACACTACAAAAACATGTGAAGACTGAATTCGGGGCCGAACTAGTCTTATTACAGGATGTCAGAACTAGGTGGAATTCAATGCTAACAATGATTGAGCGTTTCTTGAAGTTAAAAAATTCCATTAAAAAAACCTTGATTGATTTAGATAGCTCATTTAAATGGAAGGAGGAAAATATTCCTATACTACAAAAATTGCGGTTGATATTGACGCCAACTAAACTTGCAGTTGAAGCATTGAGCAGACAAGATGCCAATTTACTAACTGCAGAGGCTATAACAGATGTGTTGCTAAAACAATTAGAAAGTATCGACGACCCTTTGGCTCTTCAGTTAGTAGAATCTCTTAAAATGAAAATATCAGATCGTCGGAATACACCTCTAATATCGCTGCTACGCTACCTAAACAGCCCCGATAATTTTATTCTCAAAAAGAGTGCTTATTTTACCGATAATAGCAAGACATTTTTAATTGGATACGCTGAAGACTTATTCAATCGTCTATACCCCACTGTTCCCACTACTACAGAACCTTCGACAGGAAATAATTCAGAAGTTGTCGAAGCAGGCGTAAGCGAATCAGAAACTGAACAAGACAGCTTTGCAGCTCAATTAGAGAGAGCAATAAAAGGTGTTTCGAGAAATGGTGAATCAACTAATGCTGTGGTGCTTTCCAAATCAATTATAAAAAAAGAGTTTTTGCTATTTGAAAAAACAGGCAAGAGGACCCCTAATCTGGAAACACTATACAAAGCATTAATTTCAGTCAAGCCGACTTCAACAGAAAATGAAAGGGTATTTTCCATATCGGGAAATGTGGTCAGTAAGATTAGGAGCCGGCTGTCCGATAAATCTATTAATGCTTTGGTTTATCTTAAGGCATATTTCATAAGAATTAATAAGCAGGCTTAAAGACAGTTATATTTTTCGTATTAATAGTAGATAGATATCTCTTATTTAATTACATTAAAACTGCCAAAAATTGTGATACCATACCACCCACATAGTGAGATTAGTGAGTGATCTTTAGTTATGATGAGAAAAATTATGATTGTTTTTAGTTAAGATGTTTGTTTTAAGCTGATTGTTAACAGAGATTTTGTTTTTTATTAAAGATTAGTGAGGTTAGTTATAATAAGAAGAAGTATGATTGTTTTTAGTTAAGATGTTTGTTTTAAGCTGATTGTTAACAGAGATTTTGTTTTTTATTACAGATTAGTGAGATGAGATTAGTTATGATAAGGAGAAGAAGTATGATTGTTTTTAATTAGCAATTTTGTTTTGAGCTGATTTTTTATTGAGAACTTGTTTTTTTTTTGTTAAAAATTATGTTGATTTTTTTTCATGTAAAATAAACACAGTTAAATTAAAGACTCTATTTATTAATTAAACAAAAATTTAGACGTATTTTATTTTTTCTCGACAACCCGAGAAGACCCGAGAAATCAGGCTCGAGAAGTCTCGACACCCGAGAACTAAAAAACCTCGAGAAATCGGAAACCCTATGCATGAATTTGAAGCTTTTTCAGTACTCTAATGTTACACAAAACCTTACTTACATAAAATATATCTACAAGTTGTGCGCTAGGTATATCCCAGGTACAAATAGTACAGTCCATTGACGAACTGACTAACCACCTGAAAAAAGTGTAGATGTAAGTTTCAAAGGAACAGAAATGAGTAATACAGTTCCTTGATCAAGAAAACAAAAATATTATTTATAATCTTCATTTCCTTACCTGCTTTGACAGTCAAAATCAATGTCATTAATTTTCCCAACATGCCCCTCAAATTTTCTGACAATATTCATTGTATCAATGTCAACCAAAGTTATGGAAAAATCTTCATTAACCAGTGCCAACAAGCCACTATCTCTGTGACATTTGGTGCTACTCACTGATTCCTTTAATTTTAAAACATGAAATGGACTTGTTCCTAAAATGTAACAAAATCTTTGTATTATACATTATTATATAGATATACACTATATGTGTATATATATATATATACAGTGCAAACTCTATGTAAAACGGCACTCAAGAGACTGTGCAAATTTTGACGTTATAGAGAGTGGCCTTTAAATGGAACGAAGAAAAATGCGTATTATTAAAAGAAAAAGTTTATTGCAGACCAGTGTTAGTAATTACAAAAAAACAATTGTTATAGAAACGCTACTGCGTATAATCTGGTATGCATGTTATGCAACTAAGAATATGATAACGTATAGATAATCATGACGTCTACTAACAACAGTCTACGTATGTAAGCAATCCCAATTTGTAAACAAAACAACGGATTTCTTAGATTTTGGTATGTATTACGCCGACATTCGAGTTTATAACGGGCTACGATAATAAAGCGACAAAAGTACAAAAGAACGTACACAGCTGTGCAGTTTTTTACTAATTTTTGCTACTTAAAAAGTACTGAGAGTGAATGTAATGCTATATAGAGTGCATTCTATAAAAGACAAGCTAAACCAACCAAAGCCAAGTGATATCGACGCTTTAGGGAGCATTTCGTTAAATCAAGTGATGTTAAATGGAGTGTAAACTGTATATATATATTTGTTTTATAAAGATAATAGTTCATAGCTATGCTAGGATCCGATAGGTGGTTGTTAAGTTATTAACAAATAATTATTTATAATTTATGGATCAAAATTACTCGTATTCTGTAAACTGTGAAACTCATCGGACTACCTATTGTAAAGAACAGAACTGCATCTGCTGAACCAACTAATAAATTATGAAATCATATTTTTTTTAACAAAACCAAGGACACAGCTTCAATATAAGATTTTTGGCTAATTAGAGCCTTTAATAATATGCAATTTGCAACATTGACACACAAAAAACGCGAATTATGTTCATGTATTGCGCGTGTTTAGGGTCATAATTGAGAAGGAATTTTGTCTATCATAGTGAATAAAGGCCCTTCTAAATTAATATAATCTAATGATTAATTATTAACTCTCTCAACTTAGTCTTTTATAACAAAAGCATAAGCTTTACGAACAGTACATGACATTTTTGCAGTTCGAAAGAATGTAGATAATGCATAAATAACTAGTATTTGCCTACTACCAGGCTAAGCACACTCCACACTTTAGAAACAAAGCCAGCAGTGGGCTGCCGCGCGACATCAGGAATGCACGTAAGGCCGCGTCTCGTCCCCTGAATTATTTTTTTCTACTTTACTTTTCGTCATAAGAAGGTAATCCTAACGTTACATGTACTGCGTCAGAAGAGTTATATTAGGCACTCAGAATAGAATAGAATGTTTTTTTATTCAATATAGATTACAAGTAGTTCTTATTGAAAGTCAATTTTTAAGTTTAAAAATCAAGGAAGTATCATCAGCGAACAATACTATATCATGTCATTATCCCCTACAAGGGAAAGTAAGTAACTAATATACACTAAAAATAGGAATGGGCTAAGAATTGAGCCCTGAGGGACACCCATCTGTAGGGGTCATCGGGAAGAACTTTTACCATTGATAACAATTTTCTGCACTCTATTACTTAAATATGAAATAACTAGTTTAAGCGTTGTGTTCTTGACACCATAGTACTGTAGCTTCCTGATTAATGTCTCAAGGTGAACACAGTGGAAAGGTCAGCACTGAGCGACCTAAATTATACTTTATTGAATCATAACAAGACCTGCTTTTTATTGAAATTCTATAATAAATGTATAAGTGTAAACTATAAAGAAATTTTTCAATAAAATAAATGATTACCTGTTTTGAAATACCAAAATTTCAATTTATCATCAGCTCCCACTGTAATTACTCTCTGGTTACAAAGATCAGTCTCCACACCTCTAACAGCTCCCTTATGTGCGAGTTTTTTCTCTTTGCCGTAGAAACCTCTATGCAAACCAGACTGCATATTGAATTTATGAACTTGCCCATTACTGTAACCTAAATATTCATAAAATTATAACATCAATTATGGAATGTATAAGCATAACATGTAAATTGGTTTAGAGAGCATTTTTATTTTTTACTGTCAGAGTATCTGATCTGCATTCACCAACCCAACTACCCAGTATAGTATGTATGATTAAATCTGACTAATAATTGAATAAATGATGATTGGTGAATTATTGTTGCGTAGTGGCAGCGTAAGCGAATGCACTAACCCATATAATCCATGTTGTAGGCGACATCAGAAGGAAATTCAACGGACATGTTACAGCATTATCTTTCTAATAACAATTTAAAATAATATAAAATCTGTGAGTGTATAAACCTGCATACCACTTATGGCAGTTATCGCACTTATGAGGTATTAACCGCGCGCAGAAAGTTTGCCTATGACGTCATGACGTAACATGTCGACTGGTTAGTATGGTTGACAAAAAGACATGTTACTAAAACAGTAGTTGCAAATGCAATAAAGAAAAAATGATTAATAACAAAATATTGGACTTGTTACTACGATTTATTATAGGCGGACCTATTTGTTTTTCCTTCTCGAAAGACATTAGAACCTTTAAAATAATAATACGTTTGCCACCGCAATAGGTTTTCCCTTTACCCATTTTGATAAAAATAGTACTAACAAAAAACAAAAACTTAACAAGGAAACAATGAATAATTTCGGAGCGAGCGTAATTGAAAGACGTTGCACACGCTCACGGCGGCGGAGGCGAGAGGGGTAGTCATCGGCAAACTTTCGGCCAGTAATCTTAATAGATTTAGTAGGCTTTTTTTCAGGTCTGAACTTTTGATAGATTTTATTAAACTAATAAATTAATAAATGAATTAAATAGACTTTTTATACACCTTATAGAACTAATTAATAAATGCGGTCGGCCTAGGCGAGAGGTGTAGTCAATGGCAAACTTCCGGTAAGTAATCTTAATAGATTTAGTAGGCCTATTTTCAGCACTAAACTTTTGATAAGTTTAATTAAACTAATAATTGAATAAATGAATTAAGTAGACTTTTAATAGGCTTTCAATAAAGCCTATTAAAAATCATTATTTAATAAATAATTGCGGTCGGCGGAGACGAGAGGTGTGGTCATCGGCAAACTTTCGGCCAGTAATCTTAATATATTTAGAAGGCCTATCTTCAGCACTGAACTTTTGATAGGTTTTATTAAACTAATAAATTAATTAAGTAGACTTTTTATACGCTTTATTGAACTAATTAATAAATAAAATAAGTAGAATGGCCAAAATTAATACATTAATTATCTCCAATCACCACAAACATAGTTATGAAGAAAGTTTGGAAAACTGTAACACAATCAAACAATACTTAAAGGGCTAATATTTCAATCAGGAACTAAAAATTATCCATCATTTAAATTACAACCATCATTAATATCCATCACAGCCATCACAAGTAGCAACTGCTGAACATAAGCCTCCCTCAAGGAATTACCAGCATCCATCAACTTTCTGCATCTCTTAAAAGGTTGTCACTTCATCTAGTGGAGGGCCGTCCCACACTTTGCTTACCAGTATAATAATTATTATTATAACCTAACTGAATAAAAATTTTACCATTGAACTATTGGATGAATAATTTTTATTTGATGATTGAAAAATCAGCCCTATTTATAGTAACATTCTGAATTTCCTTTATTCTCTACATTTACATTGTTCACAATTAAAAATAAACAAATTATGACCCATGTAAAAAACATTATAATCTTTAAAGACATGAATTTTAAAGAATTTATATTGATAAAATTTTTATTACCTATAACAACGAAGTTTCCACAATGTGTTACCGTCAAACATGTAGCTTGAACACCTTTTTCCATTTCAGGTGGCTTTAGCTTGTGCTCTCCCATACGTATTTTATTGTAAGACCATGTCGTAGCCATGTACATGCCTTCATGAAGAGAAGCTATACTGTCCCATTGTTTATCTCTTTGCATACAAGAACTTAATTTAGTAATTGGTGGCATCACGAGATAATCAGTTTGTAGTCGTTCTATCAAAAAATATAATAAATAATTAAAAATAAAAAATAACAAACCACCAGTATTAGTCTATACATATAAATGAATGCTTAGCAACTTCCTCTTTAAAAAAATTTTTAAAACCAGTGCAAATAGCTGGTATCATCAAATCTTAGCCATATGATTGCTAAGATTTGAAGCACTTATAATTGAAAAGAAAAAATGTTACATAAACACTCCTGCCTGTCACCCAGAGGGGTAGGCAAAGACTACCAACTTCAATTTGGCACAATCCTGAGAGGTAGACTGGTAGAGAATGCCTTGTTGCATTAAGTCCGCCTTCTTGTACTTGATGTGCAAATAAAGAATAAATAAATAAATAAATCCTGACACACCTCACCATAATTATCGAATTTTGTAATTAATCTTTTCATTTTGTAAATAATCAACACTAAGATGATAATTCCAGAATATTTAATGTAATTCCTGCTTATCCAGGAAACGCATGCCTTATGCATTCAGACTACTTAATAAATATAATTTTATGGTTCTGTTGTGCTCAAGGAGCCATGGACAGGATTTTATTAATTATAATATAGCATTTATTTATTTATTTAGTGAATGACTGCCTCATTGGTCTAGTGGTTATAGTAATGTAACAACAGAGAACGAGATCCTGGGTTCAAATGCAGTCGGGCCAAAAAATCTGTTTATTGAGTTGTTCCGTCAAGAAATTCTCAGTAGCTGCCTGAAGTTGGCAGTGTCCCACCCCCGTGCTTTGGAAAGCATGTAAAGCTTTTGTCCTGCGCCTGATCTCTCTCCAGTTGTGTTGGTTAACCGTCCTATAGTATTATGATGAGGGAATAAAGAGTGCATCTGTGCTTGCTCACACACATGAGCACTATAATAATAATACTATTGGGCACTATAATCCTAGCCTGGCTAGTCTCCATTGAGGATGGCCACTGGGACCGAAATTTGGTCTGGAGGACACTATTATCATTTATTATTTCATTTAATAATTCACACTGTCCTAACATAACTTGTACTCTGTTCAAATAATAGATTAATTTTATTTATTAAAATTAATAAAGCTAATTATATAAATAATTATGTATTTACTTTTCTTTTTAGAAATTTTTCTATTATAAGACGCCTTTCCCATGCTCTTATTGAATGTTTCAGTAACAGTATTCATAATGTGGAGACTGCTATCTCTTCCAGCTGCCAAGAGATTTTCCCCAGTAGGTTCACAATGCCGCACCAAGTTTGGAGGAAGTGAATGACCTTCCCTAAAAAATATATTTTATCAAAAATGATTATTATTTTTCAAACTTAAATTTATATATTTGTAATTATTGCAAGAAAATAGAAAAATAAATAAGAATGCAATTAACTTTCACTGATTTTTACAATATCTTAAACTCACCTTTTCTTTAGAAGCCTAGCACCACCATCAGGCATATCAAAGATCCACATTTTCAAGGAATTATCTTGTGAGTTAGTAATCATTAGAGGTTCTGACATCAAACATTGCAAACCAGCCACTTGAGATGAATGTGCTGATTGTATCTGTGACATAACTCTCTTCTCTTCTAAATCCCACATAACTATGTGCCCCTTAGTACTACCAGTCACCATCACAGGGATCCCATCTAATCTAAACGACAAACAACTCACCATACCCCAGTCATGAACAAACTCCATAACAGTCTGGTCATAGCGCAAGTTATGCAAAATGATTTTTCCATTAGCAAGAGCAATTGCAACTACATCAACTGCAGGAGCGGGCTCTGTAACTGTAACAGCGGTATCCCAGCCTTGGAAAGTAAACACCAATTTTGAAGTACGTACATTCCATATTTGAAGTTGCCCTTGCGTGCTTCCAAGTAATACCTTGTTCAGGTAAGTAGGAGGGTGACATATTGTTGATATTTTAAAATTATCCTCATCAAATGTCAGTTCTAAAAACTCTGATTCATCTTTAATATCAAATATTTTCAGTACATTATCTTCATCAATGGATATTAAATGTGTGCCGAATGGTAACAATTTGTGCACTGGCGCTTGATGGCCTTTGTATACGTGTTTTAATTCGCAACCTCGCCTCCAAGCATATATATTATTTTCACTAGCAGTATACACATGATAGCTGTCCCCACACATACAAGTAATGGGACCCGGATGCTCACCACTTACGCTTAGTAAACGAAACTTATCACATCCGTAGGTGTGAAACCATTTTCCTACACTTGTACATAATAAAGTTTCGCCTCGTCTTTTAATAAATCTAGCCACAAAGGGGATATGCGTACTCACATAACCTAACACTCTTGAGCCCGTAAAAATTTGACTACATAAGTTCTCTGGCATGTTACAGTACAGCTGTACAGCTGTATGGCTAGCAAAACTATCAATTATATAACAGTTTTAAAATTTAAACATATATAGTGTTTGGTAAAAACACGTGTTTTTATTTACTACTTTACTTCAAAATCAAAACTTCAAATTGTCAATTTTGTTGTTTTTATTATTCGCTCGAGGGAGCTGGCAAAGGAACTAAGCCATACAGCCTAACAAAATGTCAAATAGAACCAGCAACCAGTTCCAGATGCTGCTGCCATAAAGCAACGCGGGCCGAAGGCGGCTATTGCCCATCTGCTTCTGCTGCAGTTGCACTCTGTCGATGCCTTACGACACCCATGGTACACTAGGATAATTCTTACACCGTCATTACGGATATTATATATTTTTTGTATCATATACTTTTATATAACCTTATACAAAATTCGTACAAGTTTATTATTAATAATACTAATATAAAATGATATAAATGAAATAAGAGAAGTAAATTAATTTTAACTAAAATTATATAATTATAAATCATGACACTGATAACTTGTCAGTCTAAAAGTTTTTGCGATTTTGCCTCGTTCGTTATCGATAACGTTATTTAAAAATATTTTCCGGATTCCGTAGTTATTTGGAATGGTTGTTGGATTTTGTCAAACTATGTTTTACTGCGAACCGAATTCCGTATTCGACCCCGACTTTGTAGTACATGCCTACTGATCGACCCTGTGAAAATATAGGTCTGCTTGATACATTAACAAATAACATGACCTTAAGGCAGAATTCAAACTACAGTCTTATCGGTATATATTAGGCTGTTGAGAATAATATTTCTGCGGCGAGAATATCAATCATATTGCACGGCCAAGCAAAATTTATTACTTTTCCAAGAAACACAGAGCAAATGACTTTCACCGTCAATGAGCGATGATACAAACTTAATATAAAAACTACTTTAAATACATATATTTTGCTTTTGGCACACGTTAACAATTTTCGGTTATCGTTAAAAGTTTCAAAAACTAGATTTGAACTAGATTAGCAATAAGTACATATTTAAACAGATAAATAATTGATTTTTTATTTGGACGATATCTTTCTCTCTTCTTGCTACTTCACTTTCATCGCCGCCAACCTCTCCTCCAGTGAAAGCTGAGGTAACATATAACACACAGGTGTAATACACGCCTATATGTTCTTTATCTGTGATTACCTGTCCAATGCCAACTGAACCGATTGTAAAATTAATGGTGCAAGGAATACATCTTGTTCCATTTTTATTTTTACCGCCGGCTACACACTCGTCGAGTGGCATGAGAAGTAGCGAGGAAAGGAGGCGGAGACGTAACAATGCTCGTCTTGCCGCACGTTATGCTTCTCGTCATGCCCATCGCTCCCTGTTTTGTCGGTTTTTTGGGCGTGAGTCCAAGGATAGGCAATATGAGCGCGAGTGGCGGCACACGCGAGTGGAGGTGACACACTCGTTACGGAAGCACGTCACGTGTCATTTAAAATCATAGTGTACCTATCATCATCGTTCAGTCATATTATCACGTGAGTAAATAATATACAGACAAAAAGCTTCCTCGATGACGACAACGTGTATATTTCTTTTTATGACATTGATATAACTAGCTATAATTAATATGCATAGCTCGCACGCTACAACAGTTTCAACGTCTGCGGAGCGTCGCGACCTTTTGAGCGCCAAAGTCGTCTACGTGACCAGCACCCGCGGGCCCTGAGCGCCAACGACGTCTATAGTTGACAAAAAACCCGGCCCACAAAAATATGAAATATAGACATTGGAAAATTATTACTGGTATTTTAATTCTACACCCCTCAAAAACGAATAACCCAGCAACATGTGAGTATAAAAAACAAGTCTCCTAGAGCCACAAGTACTAAGAAATATTGAACTAAAAAAAATGGATTTTTATCTAAGCAAATACTATGTCCAGCACGCCAAAGTCGTCTATGTGTGACCGCTAGTGTTGTAATGCGTAAGGTATAAATTTATTGAAAACTATTCAAAATTAAGCTCAAACGTGTTTTTTTTTTCTGTCTATTATTATTGATATTTAAATAAAACAAAAGGTTAGAAATATAAAACTATAATTAGCTACATGAATTAAAAAAAATTTTCAAATTATCTTCGCATAATAAATCTAATATCTCAACTCTGGCGCATCCTTAGCGCGACATCAAAATCAGTTCACTGGGCGCCGTGGTCAAGTATAGACGACACGCTGATGACGTCATAAGCGATTAGCGGGAAAATTAGTGCAGTGCAACATGAACGATTCCTCAGAACTCATTCGGATTTTTGAAAGCGTCGACGATGATGAATTTTCGGAATCTGAATCATTACCTGAAGATTTAAGTGAGGTAAGTGTCTTAAGTTCCTAATTAATTAAACTTATTTTACTAACATGCATATTGCCTACTTTATGTATCTATTATTTTATAATATTTTGTTAAATTTTAAATATAATAAGTTCGATACAAAATGAAACTGTTTCCCGGGCGACTCTTGTGAGCACATTTTTTATGTTTTTGTTTTCGAGTTTAGAATAACTCATCATGTTCGTTTACTTTTATACTGCAACTAGTAGATATTTTTTTTGTCAAAAAGCTAATGGTAATATTGTTTAGCGAAATAAATATCTTAAACCATATTTCACAATAATCCTTCCGAAAAGTAGGTACCGTGAGTAGACCATAAATCATAAATCAACCTAATGAGAAAGCATTAAGGTCCAGAATAGTATATCGACTTTCTACCTTTCGGCATTACAATCGTTTCGAATAGTATTGTGAGTAGACTAAAAATCAATGTAATGGTAAAACATTAAGATCTAAAATAGCGTGTCGACTTAATACTAAATTGCTCTTTTGTTCTCGGCGGCGACGTTCTTTTTTTGTTACTAACACTCGTGTCTTATAGTAATCAAAGGCTTTCAAGGCTTTAAGAATATATGTAATTACTATCCTCGATTACGAATCAAAATGCAGATGCGCTCTCACCCGTGAGGACTAAGATGGAATACCTCGTTTCCAGTAAAGAGGGTCTCCGGTTCTCTACACTTACCATACGAAACACAGCAGCATTAAGCTACTATTTGACGCCGGTATTCCGTGAGAGCGTGGTTCTTCCCCGGCTTCCTTGGGAGCCGACCCATTCGTGCTACAACTACTCTCCCGTAATATAACTACAGCGTGGCTCTACCACGTTGAAAATTTGCTTTGGCCAGCTAAACATTTATGTTTTATTATTCCATAAGATTTTTATTATTTTAAGACTAATATTACCTGTAATTTATTAATTATTTTTAATTGTTGTTTTCTATATTAAGTACTGATTGAGTTAAAGACCAAGATTTTAATATTTTAAGACTAGACCTAGTGCAAATTATTATTTACAATTGTTGATTAGTGAATAATTATGTACCATTTGTTGATTTCTGTAATAAGTCATTAAGACCAAGATTTTAATATTATAAGACTGATTTTTCTAGTGCGAATAATTATATACAATTGTTGATTGGTGGATAATTATGTACCATTTGTTGATTTTTATAATAATTACTGATTTTTATTCCATGACCAAGATTTTATTATTTTAAGACTGATTTTCCTAGTGCGAATAATTATATACTATTGTTGATTGGTGGATAACTATGTACCATTTGTTGATTTTTATAATTACTGATTTTTTAATCCATGACCAAGATTTTAATATTATAAGACTGATTTTCCTAGTGCGAATAATTACCTATATACAATTGTTGATTAGTGAATAATTATGTACCTTTTTTTATTTTAATAATATAAAATTACAAATAATAAATGTGTTTTTTTTACTTAAGGTATGAAGAGCAATTTTTCATTTTGTGTTGTGGGATTTTCTTTCTCAATCTCAAAATCATTTAGCAGCATCAGCATCATATGAAACCCCCATTGTAATAAGAGCGTGACTTTTCTTCTGTGATTCACTTGGCCTACGCCTCGCCATAAAATATTTTGAATCGATGTCTGTATATTTTGGTTAGATCAATTTTGAAATCGATACACAACGGCTACATCTCTAAGAAAGTTTCAAAAAGAAAGGTCAGTTACGCCGTTGTCGTCCAGTCGTGACAGTGACGTCATCACGATGGAGAGTAGTGTTGTGGTTTACTACTATTTTATTGTTATTGTTTGTTTTTTATATATGTACAAAATACATATATAAAAAGAGTGGATGACAGCACAAGATTAAATAAAACATACCCGATTATAAAGAGTCATTTATTGTATAAAAAACCAACAAAAACCAGTTATTTTGTGTTATCGATATATCAACTCCTGGTAGCACTGTTTTTTTCGTAGGTATTTTTGTTTACTTTTCGCTTTGGCGTACAGGACACGGTAGTGAGTTTTTGGCGTGGCGCTCAAAAGGTTAATTACGCGAGTAGAGCAGTGTGCGGACAGACAGGGCAACAGGGCGGCAACGCGAGGAGCAGAGCAATGAGCAGCGCAAGGAGCATAGTGTGACCGAGCCATTAGGATCACTTCTTATTCATTCATATTGTTTTCCTCATTCAGATTTATGTACATTATTGTAATATGTTCTGTTTTACCTTAGGTACCTACCGATAAAATCGATAAATCATTCAAAAATTACGTATAGGGAGTGTTTTGTTTCGTGCAACACAGTA